ATCACCTGTAGTACAAATTTTAGACCACAGTCTTTGCACCTCCAGTTTATTCCAACATTAATATATATTTGTATACACAAGTGTGTGTGCACAGTAATAGATGATTCGAATGAACTTTAGTATGGGCCATTAGCGTGATTGTGCTTTCATTTCCTAGCCTGGCCACATGAGACACTATGTGGACTGTTTGCCCCGTGCGACAGAGCTGCTGTGGCTTCCTCCATGCCGTGCAGCTGACACTTCAGTCAGGTTTCATCCCTAACCACATCTGGAGGAACGATATGGGTCTCTGCCTTCCTCTTGTGGATGTCAGGGGAGTCATGATTCAGAGATAGCCGTGTCAAGATCATGATGAGCAAAACTAAGGAGAGGGGGGTTTATAAATGGTGATAGACCTTAGTTTCATCACTTTTGTTTATTTCCCTAGCAGATCACCGAGACTAACAAGGTGAATTTGTATTCTGTTAAAGGGTTTGTTTAAAAGAAAATATTCTCTAGTCTAGGTTGTTCTTCACAGACTCTCGATTTTCAACCTTCTTACTTATTCTCTTTCAAGGATGCTGCTATTTCACATCAATAACTGACACCTTTATTTCAGAGAACAAAATAGAATTACACTCCAGCACTGACAATATAATAAATCAGGAGGGATAAAATACATATTAGTGAAGTTCACATAGTTGGTTTGTCCCAGCTGACCTATAGATATAAAGGTATGATTAAAGTTTTTTTGGACTGCTTCTTCTCAATCTTGCCACAAGATTTAGCTCCGACTCAAAGATTTGACCTTTGCTGCTCCTCTCTGCTTACCTTGATTCTTTGGAATTATTGTTATTCCCTTGAAGCCTTTCTGCCCGTACAGAATTAACACTGTGTTGTGACAAAATATTATCTATTTGGCAGAAGAATGAAGCCATCTAGAATTCAATCAGGTTAGACAATGTCACAGTGCACATCCTGAATGAATCATTTCTACCTAGCTTTTTTTAATCAAAGAAATCTCGGCCATATAACCAGGAAGTGTCATGCTGGATAGTCACATAGCTGTCTACAATTAAAGTTTAGGCATATCAGTTGTTTTTTATGAATTACGGTTGAAAAGCATGCCTGCCAGAGCACTTAATCTTTCAGACAGGTAACAAATAAAATCTCAAAGCCACAGGTTTATTTAGAGTATGAAAATATTTATTAACTTTCTTGGAAGTGTTTTTTACTGAAGAAGTTCCTTGTGGTTCACCATATTGGTAAAAACAAGCATAAATAAAGGAAGCAGGAAAAATGTGCACTGAATACTCCTGAGAAAAACAGTATGTGGTATTTGTGTTTTCCCTACTGGGGATAAGATTAGCAGGTGAAGTAAATGCACATAGTTTTACCGAATTCAGTGGGGCTATCCAGATTTGTTGTAGCTGAGTGTATGACCCAAACCAGCTGTTTGGGAGGAAGCAGTTATTGAAAACGTGTGTTTTTCATTATGAAATAACAGGGTGTTTGTTGCTTTTAATGTTGTTTCCATTATTTTCAATGCTAGGTATATTTTTTTTTTAAATGTAGTTTTTAACTTACTTATGTGTCTACTAGTTTCATCATTACTAAACCTACGCGTTCTCCTTGAAACTAAATCTGCATAAGTTCCACACCATTTCCCCCTAGCCCTTCCATTTATATTATATACTAAAAGAATTTAAGCTAAAGTAATAGTGTCAAATTGAGGTGCATTTGACAATGCACTTTTCCTCTGATGAGGGATGGGCTAATGTAATCAGCAATTATTTTTTTGTGTGACCTTTACAAATCAAGTGGTTATTTCCTTGCTTTTCATTTGTATTTTGCTTCCAGTGGTGCAAGACTGCTGCAGTTAGTAAAAACATAATTTATAGATAGAATCACATTACAATAGGGTGCAATATTCTCAAAAAACATACATACTGCATGGACTTCTTAATTAAATAATTCAAAGAAATGTATAAGCTGGCCAAGACTAAATTTATGCTGTTAATTCACAGAGGAGTTTCCACGATCACCATAGAGATATCCTGGAGCAGCTGCCAAGTATTGAAAGTGGAGGCAGCAATAAACCTTGTCTAGGATAAATCCTGTGTTAGTAACGGAATTACAGTAGAGAGATGCCATAGCGTTAGGGATCCAGACTGGTGACTGCAGAGGGTCCTTCTACCAAATGCACCTATTTTACACCCACTGGTTGAATAAACAAACATAGAGTTTAATGCCTTCCCAACACATGCAGTTGTGAGGAGTGTTTCATTTTGACATGACTATATGGTTCTTCTGTGGTCTAGGGAGCCTTTGTTCATGAAAGGCATCCAGTGAGTAACGGTGGGTGAATCTGAGTGAATGATGATCTACATCCTTGAGACTTCTTTCCACTGCGTTAATAGATTACTTATGCCCACAAGCATCTTCTGAACAATTTAGCCTTTTCTTATAAATGACATTAAAAATGGGGGGGGGAGCGCAGGATTCTTCTTTTAAGTATAGATAACAAAACTCCCATACCCAACAGCAACAAAACCTCATGATTCATTTGTTTTGAGTTAAGGAAACCTTTTGGAAACAGGACGTTCTGTCACTTATTCAGTGAATCAACTGATGATGCCCCAATAAAAACTGTAAAAACATCTTATTGCAAAGCTAAATATAAGTGTTAAAAGTAACTGGCTGGGTGTGTGTATATATATATTTTTTTTTAATAGAAGATACAAATCCAGAACAGAAACATGGAGGATCACACTAATTATCTTTGTTCCCATGTTGATCACATGGCATTTCTCATATTTTTCCTGTACTTCTCAAATTTCCATTTAGTCACAAGAGGTTTGTTCTAAGTGAAGGAGCCCAGGATGAAGAGCAGTAATTTTAAAGATCATAACAGGAAAAAAAAATTAAGACATTCTGTTTTCTCACAACACCACAAGAGTTGTGTTCTGAAGCTTTTTGTTCTAAATTTTCAGTTTCTTGGAAAGGCAGAAAAAGGAAAGTTTCAGTAAAATATTGTTTTACAGAGAATGTTTCTGAAAGTTGAGAATAGAGCAAAATATACATATGAGGAAAAAGTCTATATTTTTATATATACACCCATGCACTTTTTAATATTGACATGCATATAGAAGTTCACATAGCATATTTGCCCAGAGAAGTTGTGGAACCAACTTCTGTGGTTGCCCAGAGAAGTTGTGGATGCCCCATCATTCAAGTGTTCAAGGTCAGGTTGAATGGGCTTTGAGCAACCTGATCTAGTGAAAGATGTCCCTGCCCACGGCAGGGGGGTTGGAACTAGATGCTCTTCAAATGTCCCCTCCAACCCAAACCATTCTATGATTCTACATTGGAAAGCGAATAGGAAAAGGACATCCTCTCAAAAGAAAATAGATCAACTTTTGGCATAGTGAACTATGTCCATGCTAAACCAAATGAGGGAGACATGAAATATGGAAAGTAGCAGTTCATGTCACTGCAGAATAAGTATCTGCATAAAACCACCATGGTTTTTGGCACAGAAACTGTTGCTCTTGCTGTTTCTGGGGGCTATGGTACCAATTCTTCCCTGCAAGCCTGTTATGGCTTGTGATGCTGATAGTGGGGATAATTGTCTGACAAACTAGAACATTGATTTTCTGAATTTGGATAAAACTGGTTTGATAATTAGCAGTAGGATCCTTCTAGCTCAAGAAAATGAATTTCTGAGCATTATATGGGCTACTGCATCTTGTACTTACATTTCCACTGCAGATACAGGACTTGATTCATCGGTGGGTTTTGAAGTCAAAGACAGTATGCACATCTGAGCTAGTAAGATTGACTTTGGATTTGGACCTGAATTAGGAATGACTGCTTTTTACTCATCTGGCTCGTCTTATCTCTCAGGTTCTTTACTAATATAAACGAATACAATGGAAGAAAAAGGTTTTGTTGGTCTAAAATACTACTGCCACCAAAAACCTGCACTTCGAAGGAAATAGTTAGGTTTACCATTCTCCTAAGAAAAGTTTTAAGTAGAAGACATGGTTTTCTGTTATCATTCAAACACAAAAAGCTATAATGAGAAAGAAATACTTAAAGTGATTTGCTAATTATTCCTCATCTGATTATTTTTCTGACTGTACCAGCGTTATTTTATCTCATTGTTTTATTTAAAGAAGGCAAAGATCTCTGCACAGACCGAGAATAGATATGGTTTGCAAATATGACAAGTCTGTGTTTTGCATTGCCGAGTTCTGGTTAGTTCTTAATTTATGAAACCCCACTACAGATGGCCTCTTGCTAAATTTTAAAGAGCTTCCACATTTCAGAACCAGGCTACCTTTCAGCAAGTCACTTTTGTCAAAGCCTTGGTGTTCCTTCAAGACACTGTCAACATACCCCATGAGAATGTACAAACGGTGAATACCCTGGTCTGTTCTGTATCATATATTTGAATCTCTGGAATGTATTTAAATGAAGTGAATAAGAATGTATTTTTTCTGACTAGAAAATAAGTTACAGCAGGTCTGTTTCTAGACAGCAGAAGTAAGTGTGCCTTAGATGGTGATTAAGAGTTGTGGTGTTCTTCTTTAAATGACTAACCTGGAGTGAGAGGTTGGATGTCTTTTGAAAACTTAAACCTGTTTCACCTGAACATGTTTAACTAGTTAATAAGAAACATCAAAAAAGACAAAACCCTGAGGTCAATGATCATTTTTTGTAAAGCCATTCGATGATGTTTAAATTTGTTTTTTGGGTCTGTCTATAACATAAGTTTAATAACCTAGCTCAAATGCAGATTTCTAATTTTCAATTAACATAGGAATAATTTTGTTTGCTAAAATAAAATAAATGAATGAATGAAAAGTCTGAACCATGAAATGTTCTAGGTAGCACTTTTTAAAATTCCAAATTTCAAAAAATCATGTGGCAACTGTATAGCTCAAGCTTTAAGTATTAACTTTTAACCTTTGACCTTACAGATTTTAACCAATGAAATGTCTCTTTAAACTTTAAAGGAAACAATGATAACGAGCGCCTGGCGATTGCTAGACAGCGAATTCCATATCGACTTGGTCGAGTAGTTGATGAATGGCTACTCGACAAAGGTAAAAAACATTGATTAAAACTTCAAATAAAAAAATAATTTGAACATAACCAAGTAGTACTTCATTGTAACACTAATAAACATAAAAAATAAATTTCAGTAAAACTAAATTAAAAACAACTTTAAAAAAGTAAAATATAGAGTAATATTTGCATACCTTGTATAATAATTTCTATACATTTCTAGAAGTACCAGCTGTTTAATAATCTTACCCTGTTAACTTAAGGTTAAAGGGACTGTTAAATATAATCCACTAACTCAATCTATGAAGGTACTCAAAGCAAACATTAACCAAAAATTATAAATCATTCATAGATTATATTACATGTTCCAGCATCTAAATTATTAACTAAAAATATATGTAGTTACGATATCTTCATTATGGTCCTGAAAAAAAAATTTGTTTAAACTGTAGGTATCTTAAATAGTGGGCAATATGAATTGCCAATCAAAATGAAGTCCCTTTAACGTTTGCAACCTTCTTAAGGGGATTTTGGAACAAACACTAATTAAAACAGAGCTTAAAGTTGTGTGCATGCTTTTTGTGAGCAGAAACCAATCTGCTAAAGTGACTATTCTATTTACTAAGAGTGGTACTGTTGCTGAGGATTTCTCTGTTTACTGGAAATGTGCCATGATTTCTCCATCGGTATGTGTATCATTTCTGAAGCCGCTTTTACATCTAAAATCTTTTATTTTAATTGATAGCCTTGCTAAAAGCCAATCAGACATCTATTTTTGAATCTGCCTCTGAGATACTCAGTGTGAACCATGTGTTTCTTTTCAGTGTGGATGTTGAAGGAAAATAAACATTTAAATACAAAAAGGAAACATTTAATTAAAAATGTAAATATTTTATTCACTTATATAGAGATATGACAGATTACTCCATAACATATTCTTTAAAATTCACTGGACCTAGTGACTTGTGGGCATATATATATAAACTCTCTCTGTGTGTATATACATATTTGTATATGTCTATACATACATAAACTCACATGTACATACTTAAAGCTATAGGCCCTATGCTGTATTGCGAGGAAAAAAACTTTGAAATGTTGGCAGACTTGAAGAAAAAGTAATCTTAAGGAATTCGAAACCTGGCATTCTTGACACACACCAAAAAGCTTAACACTGCTTTCAGGTAAAAGGGAGAGGGGTATCATTTCTAGTGCTAAACACATTTGCAAATATATTTGATTGGCCTTTTAGCAAAAAAAAAAAAAAAAAAAGTCCTAAAACGGCGTAAATTAAAAAAAATGCAAACACTCTCAAAATTTATGCATTTCATGGACACCTCATTAAAAAGCAATGAATTATGAGTCAAATCTTTTTCTTATAGTTTATTGCTCTCATTATTCACCCCATGAAAATCTGTTATCACTTGTGTAGAGTATAGTGTTCACAGTCAACATTTTTGCATGTATATAATATTATCTTCACAGGGCGTCAGCTCACAATCTTCAATAGCCAAGCAACCATAAAAATTGGAGGCAAGGAACGTGGCCATCCTTTCCAAGGCCAGCTCTCTGGTCTTTACTACAATGGCTTGAAAGTTCTGAATATGGCAGCAGAAAATGATGCCAACATCGTGATAGAAGGAAATGTGAGACTTGTTGGTGAAGTGCCTTCCTCTATGACAACTGAGTCCACAGCCACAGCGATGCAGTCTGAGATGTCCACGTCAGTCATGGAAACAACCACCACTTTGGCCACGAGCACTGCTAGAAGAGGAAAGACCCCGACAAAAGAACCTATTGGTCAGGTTAGTCGGCTTCCTCATCTTTTGCAAATGTTTTCCTGTCTTTGAGTGTGGCTTCCTATATCGCGTTCACTCTGCAGATGAAATTGTTCCGGTTGAAGAAATGCATGAATTGCAGATAAAAGTTCTGTACCGTACATGGCTCATGGATGCGATGTTGATCAGCATTTAGAGGGAAAGTAAAGACTTTTGCTGTTCTTCTAAATTAGGCAAACTTACCAGCTCAGATTTTTCTTGTGCTGAGTTTTATTGCCCTGTCATCCATCTTCTTCATAGTGGTGCATATTTTTAAATACTCTTTCTTCCTTTGATGACTTATATCGATTATTTTCAGTGTAGGTATGCAGGATATCTGGAATTAGAGATAATGAAATGAAGTGGTGACTTTATCCATCAGATAGAGAAAAGATACCTAGTTTGAAGAGGGAACGGGAAGGAGGTGTGAAGACAAAAAGTTGGAAGAGGCTGGAAAAGAAGGAATTAGCAGTTTCCCTAGTCCCACGATTGATCATCATCTTGGGCAGTATTCCTCATAAGAGGCAGTGGCAACAGAGGGAATTAAGAGCACTCTGCATTCTGGGAGACTCAGGCTCCAAGTCAGAGGCTGTTGTTTACTGTTTGTTGAGGTTATTTGCATCTCATGAATTTAGTGATATATTTAGTAGCTTTCAGGTTTTGTTAGGATCTCTGTATAATATGTGGGGGAATTTGATTGTCGGGAAAAGGAGGGAGAAAAACAGGTGAGTGAATTAAGTACCTTCATCTTGTGGATACCCTGAGTAACAGCATTCAGACTTTGTGCTGTAAAAACCTAGAACTTACCAGGACGTTTCTGTGGCAGAGAAAATTCTTTTGTATTTATTCTGCCTTAAAAAAACCAAGAAACCAAAAAATCCAAACAAACCAAAAAAAGGGTACACTGCTAAAAGCTCTTCCTATGTTCACTTGGTTCACTCACTTGTGCACCCACTGTGCCATCAAGCCATGACAGCTGCGCTCTGAGATCCAGAAGTAGGACAAGGAGCAAAGAAAGCGTCACGAGCTGTAGGGAGGAACAGGAGCACGATGTGATGAATGAGCTTAATTTTCTCAAGAATGGAGGAGAACATGTTGATTAGACTGGGAGGATGAGGTCAAGTTGCCTGTTTTCTGTGTAAAACCTCAACTCAGAGTTGGAATTTGCTGGGGGCATCAAGCTCAACACTTCAGCTTTTCTGTCTGTAGTATTTTGGTACACTTTATATTATGGATTGAAAACTATAGTGATGTAAAAGTAAAAATTGTTATTTTGTATAAGGAAGAACATTTAGGTTAAAAGTGAGCTTTCAAAAAAACATTTTTACTTGTATTTTCAAATAAACACAGGTTTTATGCATTTTCCTTGTTTACTTAAAGTGCGTGAGAATCCAAAGGAGAAAAAAAAGGGGGCAATAAAACCCAACTAGAGATACATGGAACCAGCTTCCTCCAAAAAATGGCATCCATTGTAGATCATAGGTTGCAGTTCTTTTAATGATTAATGTAGTAAACTACAGTGTTTTTATTAAATAGGCAAGAAATTTCCTTTGTTATTAATTCTGTTTTAAATATTATCTCCTACTTTATTATCCAACAAGTCTGATCTCAGTATTTTGCAGCAATGAAATGTAAGACCTCATCAAATTTGCACAGAGGAAGATCTGCATCTAAAAGTGCAGGACATCCTCACAGCGTGGAAGAATTTGGGCTAAATTAATGCTACTAGATTAATATTAAACTAAGTCAAACTGTTCCAACAGTTCCCAGCATGCTTTTGGCTTCTGCCACTCTCTCAGGTAACTCCCAGGCACAGTTTGGGAGGAAGAACGTCACCGGGAGCATTGCCAGTTGGCACCTTGCATGATTTGTGGGCAATGGGAGTTTACTGGAATAGTTGCTTTGCCAGCTGACCTCAGCTTCCAGGAATATTCCCCAGTATGATTTACTCACTTGTTTGGATGTCTAGCCACTAAGATTTTTCTTTGAGGTGTTCCAATGGCGTATTTGGGGAATAAAAAGGTTTCTTAAGCTAACAACTATGATAAGGTATAATTTTTTCTGAAGAGGGGAAAGAGACAATTAGGCAAAAAGATCTTCCACAGATCTTCCGTTTCTAGACTGTGGTGCCTGAAATAAGCTGTGGCCCTCACCGACTTTGTCAGAGCATCTACACAATTTATTTAGAGCACCTCGCTGCCACTGGAGCAGTGACTCAATGCAACCGTGCCATTCCATCGTCCCTTCCTGGCTGAGCTGGCTACACCACAATGCTGTCAGCACCTGCTCTTTGACATCCCACCATCACAAGCCTCAGGCAGGCTCCTGGAGCATCCAGAGGTGCACAGCATCTCACCAAAGCACGTTCTGAGGGTGAAGGTTTAGGTCAACCTCTCTCGCCTGTTAGCCTGGCTGATGCGAGTCCTTGACGCAACCCATTTGAAACAACTTGGCAGGAATATTTCTGTATCTAAGAGCCCGAAATCAACATTTCTGAGGAAAGTGTTCAGTGTTAATGCCATTAGAGCACAGGGCATCCTGAGTCTGTAACTGACCCCTTCTTGCCATTAATAATACACAGTGGTTTACTTCAGCTATGTCTAAACATCCTGCCTGGTAGGATCTGTGTTGTCATTATGACTATACACTTAATTAGTCAGGGACTGCACTGGAATGCAGTTTGCAATCAGGCCTGTGATTTGGTTTGAAGAAATTGATAACATCCCAAAGTCAAAGGTGAAATTTGTCTGCAGGATGCTATGTTATTCATGCAACAAACCCAGACCTAGGAAGCTACTAAATCAAATTAAGGACATAATTTCTTCTCTTCATTAATACCTGTTTTCTTATTTTACCTGCATGTAATAATTTCTGTGCTAGTGACCCATAGGACTCCCATGGGTCTATCCTGCAGGGTGCCAAGTAATCACTTTCCATCTTGATGTCACTGGGAGATGAAGGCATTCACCATCTCATGGAAAATCTGCTTTTAATTTCTGCATTCCCTTTCATTTTTGTCCTTTACATTTTTTTCTGATTTTTATTTATATAACACCTCTGCAAGAGTGTCAACTACGTTGACATACTGTAATACACAAGAAGAAAAGTTACCTTTCTAGCATTAATTAGGTTACTGAAGAAAATATACAGCTGAACAGCAATTGCTAATGAAAAAAACTTTACATTATTGCAAACCAGTGCGTGTCTGAAATAGAATAGAATCAAATGATCTAATCAGTCAGAGATTGTTTGCTCCATTTGCAGAGGTATTGAATTCAATTAAATATTACAATACTTAAAGATCATTTAAATCTCTATTTATAGGAAATATTCTTTTAAAAAAACTACAATGTTAGTGCTTAGTTTGATGGAGTGTGTTCTTCTCAGCAGATATCTAACTAATGCAATATATGATGCAAGGTAGATATGATACTTCCAGAAAGTATGTTGAATACTGTTGTGCATGATTTTAGGCAAATGAGGTCTTAGCGCTCTGAAAAAAAAAATGCTTTTTGTTAGTGACTCTGCTCTCAATGAAGGTTTTTCTTACTTGGAGGCTGTGTCATATTTTAACAATGGACGTTTTGGTGATGACAGACATCTTAACTATTATACTTGTAAATGGAGATTTTTCAAAGGGGAGAAAGGTACTCAAAGCCTATTGAATGTCAATGGTAGGTGAATGCCTCATTTTCCTTAGCGCCTTAAAAAGCCCCCCCTCTCTTTGATTATAATGGCATCTAGAGCTGTCAGCCTTCATGCAAGGCACTGCACGAACACATAGGAAGTGACAGTCCCTGCCTCAAATACCTTTTGTTTACTCTGTAAGCTATCAGGTAAGGAGGAAAAAAAAAAAGGAAATTAGGAGGTGGGAGGAAGAGGGAAATAAAGGAAGCATTGTGCTCTTTCAGTGTTAACAAGCAACGTGCGGATTTGCAGCCATCGTGGGAGGGACAGTTTACTGCCTGGTTTTTGATCCAGGCTCCTCAGATAACAGCCCCCAAGCTACACCTCTCCTGTAGGATCACTGTGTAGCTGACGGTAGAATCTGGAGCAGGCAATTTAAGGACTGGACCGCCCAGTTTGTCCCAGTTGGGCAGTTGGTGCAAAATCGGCACCAGTTGGGTGGTCGATGAGAGGTTTTCCCTACTTTGCTCCTCACTTTGCCATTGACGTTTGGGGGAACCCATGGCCACTGGCACAGGAGCTGAGGATTGCGGGAGAGGTCCTTCACTCCCCTCGCACTGGACGGGAGGAGGCTCAAAATTTTGTATACCTTTATGAGCATGAAAACAAATCCCCAACCTTAAGTGTTACAAGAACAGGACTTCTGTTAAGTGAAAATATGCAGCTATGTGTTGCTAACTTCTGGTGAGCCGTAAGCATGCACAGGGGCTCAGAAATCATGAATTTGGTCTAAGAATATCACCCTCTTTATGAAGTTATTCAGCAAAATGATGCAGTTCAGTTCTTTCTTCTTTTTCTCTTTTATTTTTGACACTTTTTAAAAGTCTCATTTGCAAGTTTTTCTATTCAATCATGAAGGCGATAAACTTCTTTTAAAATTGAAAATAAAGGAGATTCACTTGTTGTATAACTCCAGGAGCCGGAATGTTAAGCAAAACATCAAGTACTGCAAGGTTTGCAATAAAAATTGCAAGAGTTGGCAGAAGTGGAAAGGCTTCAAAACGACTTTGAGTATGGGTTTTGCTTGAATTAGGATAGCACAATCAGGCCTTTAGTATCTCTTTGGCATGGCTTTGTGGATCTGTATTAACCGGAAATCATAAATGAAGTGATAGTAAATCAAGAATAATATGCTCATTTCTCATCCGTTTCTAAGGATTTGATTATGACAGCCCATCCACAGAGCAGCCTCTGCTCACATGCATTGGAAACCGTTTCTGAAAGTTGTGTGCAAAATAGATTTTTTTTTTTTTTTTTTAATTTATTTTTCATAAGGGATTCTGGCAGTCCTCTCTCTTCTC